CATTGCCAAAAATTTGAAGCTGAAGCGTAAAGCAGTTTGGGCAATATTGATCAAATATGAACAAAAAGGTATCTTGGAAGCCTCTAAGACAAGTGGTCAGCCTAGAAAATTAAATGCTAGATCAGTTAGTTTAATAAAAGTAATTTCGTCCATTTAAAAGGAATTGCCACTGTTTCTGCGAAAACTATAAGTAGAAGATTAAATGATTCGAAGTTATTTGCACGTCGCCCAAGTAAGAAGCCGCTAATCTCGAGGAAAACCCGTAAGGACCGATTACAATTTGCACGGTTGCATCTTGATTGGAGCATCTGAAACTGGAAGAGGGTATGTTTCAGTGACGAATCCAAGTTCAGTATGTTTGGATCAGATGGTGTTCATTACGTTAGACGTCCTAGTGGACAAAGATTGAACCCCAAGTACACTTTGCCCACTGTCAAACATGGAGGCGAGTCTGTTATGATTTGGGGGTGCTTTTCGGGGTTTGGGATGGGACCTTTACATAGAATAGACATACTAAAGCACTACTCAATTAGAAAAGTCTTTTATAATCTATTCAATTTTATGGAAAAATATTTTAGTCATCTGTTATAATGTGTCTTGTATTTATCATTGTTTCTTCATCCTCATATTTTATGTGTATTTTAAGTCTAACTTGTTTTCTTTTTTGACTTGTGCAAATGCTTCTGACATCTAATGGCTATATCATTTTCTGTTTGGTAGTATTCTTGCATATATCTCTACTTTGCCCCAAAATCTGTTTTGCTGGTAAATCAAGTGGTCAGTTATTTAAGGGGATCAATGTAAAACCTTAAAGGCCCATATTCAATTGAAAACATATCTATGTGCCTTTTTTCAAATTATCTGATTGCTGATTTTGTCAAAAATTGTGGCGAGCAGTTCAACACTCTGCAGAATGCAGAGAATCTTTGAGAAGAAAATCCTTAGAACAGGACAAATCGCTATAACTCACTTCAAACATCTGTTAATTCAAAAGTTGATCTGAATTATCATCAATCATTGGACATGAATTTAGCAAAGAAGTGAATGTTATTTTACAATTTCCGAGCATATTTCTCTAACATTTGTTTGAGAGCTCAATAAAAATTTTGGCTATGAAAAAAATGGTGACACACCAATGCAACTTATCTTCATTACATATCAGGTGATTGACCCTTGCAAAAAATATGATCAAGAGGAGATACAATGCTAATGTAACATCATTTCTCACACAAGAGCAATAAATTTGAATATTCCACTTTTTGGTATGAAAAAAAAAACTAGTTATCAACACAAAAGTATATGCTCAAAATGTTTTATTTGTATATTTAAGGGCAAATTAGATTCAAGTAAACTACAGGTGTATGTTTAGTTTGGTTTTAACTAGGGAATAGATGGGTAATATAAAAACCTATGAAGCACAACAAATGATTTTAATATAATTATGAACACAACACTATATGTACTTTATACTGACTCAAATCTATATACTGGATTATATTGAGATATTTTGTACACAGTTCTTCAGCAAAATATCAATTGTCCATATTATTTCAAGAGCCATATGCTTTCTAAGCTCTTATCCATGTTATTTTGGACTTACTGTCCAAAAATAAACTGTGAATAATAATGACGGGAAAATTTCTAGTGAAGGTGTCGAAAATTAAATTTCAAAAATACACATTGGACACCGAAAACATTACAAAATAATGAGATATACTACTGATGAAAAGTGGATCGCATTAAATGGAGTAATAAACATATAGGCTGCTGCTAAACCACAACATAAGTGTCGTGTTTTGTACACCATTTTCCAATATTGGCTGAATTCCAAACGAGTATAGATTGTTGAATCTTTTTTCGTGGTTAAAATATGCATGCAGGGTAAAAATTTCTAGGAACGTTCCACTTTAGAGTGCAACATTTTTGTATTTAGAACATTACAAACCAAATACGCAGAAATTCAACAGGGGAGATTCGGATTGGAAACGGCCAATGAAAAAGACGTGCAATAATTTACATATTACGTATATTCAGATGAATAATAATCTCCCAGAATCGGACTGATTACATGATATTTTCTTGGGTTGATTATTAGGTTAAGAAACTGGCGTTAAAGGGACAGCAAAAACATACAACCCCGTGCATATACTTACGAATTTCTGCCTGGAAAATGGCATCTTTTAATCCTCTCGTTATTTCGAATGAAAATTACCGGGTTAGTCACAAAAATAAGTCGGACTTTTTACAAAATTTGAGATCAATCGCTAACCTTCCGTTTTTGTGTAGTAGAAACGTCTAGAAACTAATTCAGGAAGACACATACGTTTCAGTTTAGGTCCTTTGTTAATACAATAATTAATACATATAGAGTATGATAGAATTAAGTAGTATGTCGATACTTGTTTCGTTACGTTTTTGACATTCAAATTTTGTACAGATGACAGCGGTGCAACACACAGAACACCAACAACAACTGCGCTGTCATAGATTTCGGAAACTCGAAGCTTACACGATGTGTGTCTATAGTCAGTAATATACAACATTGTCAAATCAGTATAATTTTTCTGAATTTTTGCTGCTTACGTTTGTAAGGCGATTTGTATCAACTTACGACTATTATTATTTATTTTATTATTACTAACATAAGGAGCCTGACATTTGAGCATTAGCTGGTTGATTACTGTAAATATTTGAACATTATGTGTTATGTCGTTATGCGTTCTGTGCTGTTATGTATATTAGGCTCTATAATATACAGGGTGACTTCGAAGTTGAGTCATTTATTTTAACAGTGAGTAGATCTGATCAAAAGAAATGTTTTTTTCCTTTACCATTTTTCTGGTAAAATTAAAGTAACAAAGTTATAGCCCTTTGGAAGTTTGAGTACCGCCCTGTCTCAATAATAATATTATGTGCTCGTGTTTGGTTCATCGCATCGGAAACAAAAAAGCGAAAGAATTTGGAACGATGTTTTTACAATTATTTTAGTCAGTTGTATACAGTTAGTGTCAGTCGGTAACGCGTTTGAATAGTGGTGTCTGTTGCGTGGCTCAAACGAAATAAAAAATGGCACATGTTTATGCGGATCGGTTTCCCAATCGAGTGCAACCAACCCCTCGTGCCTTTGTTAACGTAGTACAACGGGCTCGTGAATCAGGTGACTTAAGACCACACAGGGGACTGCATGCCGGTGCTCCAAGACCTCACGATCAAATACAGGTCCGCACTGAAATACTTGTCGGGAGGATACTTTATAAAACAAGGTAAAAAAAAATTTAATTTTTTTTATTTTTACACACATATTTTGGTTTATCTTCCTTCTACAATCATTATCTGAAAATTAATGACTCAACTTCAAAGTCACCCTGTATATCCTATTTCTCTAGTATCTATCACGGTAGAATGTCAGTCGATTATCTAGTAATTTTTCAAAATTCCCCATATAGGCACAGGACATAATTCTGACGCCATGTAGACGGAGACAGATATTTTATTAATGGTGCGTGTTCCTTTGAATCAGGTTATATCAGAGAAAAAAGATAATGGATCATATCAGAGAGGCAACAAAAAACGAAACTGATGAAGAATTGTTACAAAAATATTGGGTTACAAAAGAGAGATGGATTGAAAGAAACAATCATATGAACAGCTTTAGGAGGGAAGCTTTACAGGTTAACTTAAGTATTAGATGTGGCCACTGGATTAGTAGAAAGCAGAACTTGTGCACTGATTTTTTCACGAATATCCATAACAGTAGAATGGTAGCCGATTTTATCTAGTAATATTTCAAAATTCCCCAAATCGACAAATAGGACATAACAACGCCAGGTAGACAGAGCTGTATTTGTTAAGGTTTTTTGTTCGCTACAGATTCGTTTTGTACTTGCTAACAACTCTTTTATTTAGAAAAGTTCATTCGCATACAAAAAAAACCGGTACAAGCAAGTTTTACTAGATTTACACCTGATTAATTATTGCAACGTTACAGACTGAAACAAAGATGTCACTTGCTGATCAGCTGTTCACCTCAGTAGACGTCAAAGTGTGATAAATAGTCGTGAAATAGGGTTTATTTTTACTCTACACGTTGTTCAATCCTTCAGTATATACAGGGTGACTTTGAAGTTGAGTCATTAATTTTCAGATAATGATTGTAGAAGGAAGATAAACCAAAATATGTGTGTAAAAATAAAAAAAAAATTTTTTACCTTGTTTTATAAAGTATCCTACCGACGTATTTCAGTGCGGACCTGTATTTGTTCATGCGGTCTTGGAGCACCGGCATGCCCTCCCTGTGAGGTCTTAAGTCACCTGATTCACGAGCCCTTTGTACTACATTAACAAAGGCACGAGGGGTTGGTTGCACTCGATTAAATAAGAATCATGTCCACAAGTTCACAAGTTCAGCATTTTCGTAAACATGTGCCATTTTTTATTTCGTTTGAGCCACGCAACAGACACCACTATTCACTCACGCGTTACCGACTGACACTGACTGTATACAACTGAATAAAATAATTGTAAAAACATCGTTCCAAATTCTTTCGCTTTTTTGTTTCCGATGCGATGAACCGATAAGGCGGATTATATCCGTTGTCGCCAAACACGAGCACATAATATTATTATTGAGTCAGGGCGGTACTCAAACTTCTGAATGGCTATAACTTTGTTACTTTAATTTTACCACAAAAATGTTAAAGGAAAGAACATTTCTACTCACTGTTAAAATAAATGACTCAACTTCGACGTCACCCTGTATAGGCGGACATTTGTCTGATACATAATTTCGAAGTTTCAATGAAAGATCAAGATGAAAAAATGGCGTATCTTATTTTATTTCACAAATATTCAAGATACAAACCAGTTAGTTACAATGGGCCACCCTGTATATACAATATGGTAAAAATGTACTATTATCAGAATTGAACCGGCAACGATGTACAATAACACTGCGAGTATACGTATAGTTTAGTATTCCGTGATCTATTTCAATTGTCAATGTCAACTGTTTTGGTCACGTGGTCACTAAGTATGTATATGTTTTGTGCCTCAGAAAGTGTATGTTTTAATGTTTTGTGATTTTTCCGAATGATATGAATTTTTGTTAGGAAAAAAAATAGACTCAATCCTAATTTGAGACGAAATGGCTAAAGTAGATATGGAATTGAAAAGAGTAAGTAACGATATCACGTAGAATTGACCGCTAATAAAGCTTTATAGGCCTTTGCAGAGCTTCAACAAAAACAGGTGGAGACAGCTCAGAAATTAAGGATAGCCGATATGCAAATCGAAAACTCGAAAAGGCAAAAACTATTAGCTGCTATTACAGAAAGGTAGTCACATACTATCACCTCAAAATGCTAATAAACGTCTGACAATCTGCATTTCAAAAAAAAAAAAATGTACATGCTGCTAGTGCTTAAGAATCTGAATTGACTTTCAGGGAAATAAGTACTCTGGACGAGGGGACGAGAATGTACGAATCTATTGGCAGAATGTTCTTTTTAACGCCAGCGAGTAAGGTGAAGGAAAATCTGCAGGCAAAGCAAACATCGGCAGATGAGAAAATCAAAGTGCACGAGAACAACAAAGTTTACCTGGAAACGTCTCTGAAGGAAGCCGCGAATAATCTACGTGAATTAGTACAGTTAAAGAAAGACTCGTAGTGTTTACATTTTGAATTCGAATAAAGACATTTTATAAAACATGTGATTAATATAATAAAACATACCAACTTGATTTTCTACGAATGCGACTCTGGTTGGTTAAGAATAAATGGTGGATTTTGAAGTGTTAGAAGCGTCGTTGGTTAGAAGCTACAAACCTAAGAATCTTATCACCAACAAGGCGTTGAAGCTGCTCTCGCCGAAAGCCCTGACATACTTGGTGACAATAATCAATGCGACGCTCAAAATCCAGTACTTCCCTGCTGGGTGGAAGACCGCTGAGGTCATCATGATTCCAAAGAAGGTGGGTTCGATATTTCCTCAGGATTACCAGCCCATAAGTCTGGTGTCAGCTCCTTCTAAGCTCGCCGAAAAGGTGATTTATCGTCACCTTGAGAATTTTTCGTCAAATCACCATGTGATTCCTGACGTCCAATTCGGTTTTCGGTCCGAGCATAGCACCGAGCTACAGGCATTCAGGATGGTGGAGCATGTAACCAGAGGGTTTACCCTCAGCATGAGTACTGGCATCTTGCTTTTGGATGTCTCAAAAGCCTTTGACACGGTGTGGCACGCGGGCCTCCTCTATAAACTAACCCAAAAGGGTTTTCCTTTTTGGCTTCTAAAATTACTGAAATCCTTTCTTGAGGGAAGGAAGTTTCGGATCAAAATTAACAATGTTTTGTCAACAACACGGCCAGTACGGGCCGGTGTTCCTCAGGGTTCGGTCCTAGGACCAATTCTTTATTCGCTTTTCATCCATGATGTCCCTTCTCCCAGCAACTGTGAAGTCTACCTCTATGCTGACGACACTGCACTTGTCGTGTACTGGTGATCTGGTTCACGATGGGTTGCAGAATGCGGTGGACGAAGTTCTAGAGTGGGCGGAACGGTGGCTGATAAAAATTAATCATACGAAAACGCAGGCTGTTTATTGTACGAAAAAACGTCGCGGCCCCCCAGCAGAGGTTTCTGTAGACGGAAATCGTGTACCATGGACAAATTCTGCCAAGTATCGTCACCCTTGATAAAGGCATGACCTGGCAGAAACATACAGCATCCATAAAAACAAAATTCCAAATTGCGTTTCGGCAACTACAGTATATTCAGATAAGAGATAGACCGGATGTAAACAAAAGGTTCGGGTGATTTTCACGCTAACGCCGCCGTCTCGACGTAAAACAGGAGCCCTCATTGGTCAATTCGCAAATAAATGCCTATGCCGAGCGGCAGAGCAGTCGTATCAAGGCAGAGTCACATTCAGGTTCAGACGTGTTACGTATGTCGTGTGCATCATTGCAATTTGATATTTCTTTGGACGTTTTCGTTTGTTATCTTATTAAGTTGTTGAGTTTGTCGTTGTTATTGTTATACCTTGTTATTGATTGTTATTATTATCAACTGCTTGCGCAAAATGCCCAGTAGTACAGATACTGCCGATGAAGTTGTAAACTCCTGTAGTCCACCTAGGAAACGCTCTAAAAAAAGACACCTGAGTGCAGAAATGAAAGAGGTCATTTTGAATATATATAAGATCGAGCGCGAGGAGAACGAGGCATCAACCATCAAAGAAATTGTTGTGAAGGTTTCTCACAAAGTTGGGGTGTGTCGCGCATCAGTGTTTAATGTGTTAAGACAATACAAAAAAAATCACACCTTTTCTGAGCCAATGACCAGTAAACATCGCAAAAGTATTGTTAAATCATTGGATGAAGCTGATAAGCATGCGATTAGGAGGAAAGTGCATGAATTCTTCTTTAGGAATGAAATACCTACTATAGATAAAGTACTGCAGGAGGTAAATGGAGATACAACGTTGCCAAATTTCAAACGATCAACTTTCCATGCGTTACTGAAGCATTTAAATTTCAAATGGAAAAAACGGGGTCGTAATAGTTTACTACTGGATAGAGAAGAAATTGTGCTATGGAGGAGGGATTATTTAACAAAAATTTTGAAATATAGAAATCAAAACAGGAAGATTTATTACCTTGATGAAACGTGGGTAAACGCAGGACACACTACAAGTAAAGTATGGGTTGATGATTCTGTAACTTCATCCAGGAGGGCCTTTCTAGATGGACTCTCCACCGGATTAAAAAATCCAGCAGGTAAATACGAGTAATAGACAACAATCGGATGTTTTTCAAACCTTGGGAACAAGGTTCTAAACATTAATTCCAGGGGGCAGATAAAACATATTACAAGTAACAAAACTTTTATAACTTTCGATAAAATGCGTGGATGTTTTATTGTCATTTTCATTTGTTAGAACTTTTTTAAGCCATGTTTTTATGTGTTTTCGATATTTCAATAATTTTTTAATATAATCTTAAAATATGTCGAATATTATAAACTTAAAAAAAGTTACTAAGTTTTATATTGTGTACCGTTCCTAATATTTCTAATCATTTTAATTCATACTTTAAGCTTTATAAAGTTATAATTTGTTAATATTAATATTTGCGCGTATTTCAGGTTCCTGATCATTCATTTTTTAAAGGTTTATAACTTTAAATTAAATTGTGAAGCGCTGAGTAATCATACGACGTTCAATATTCTTTCTTTCAATATGACTAAATAATCCCAATTATAGCAATCTGATACTCATGTCTCAATGTTTTTTCGCTGAGTGTGATGAAAACATTTGAAAAAGGTTCGCTTATTGAAATAAATCTACACCAGTTAGTACTTCGATTTCCAGGTAAAGGGAAAAGGCTCATTATCTGTCATATTGGCAGTGAGGATGGATTTGTTGTTGACGGTCTGTGCTGCTTTAAGTCTAAGAAAACTGGAGATTACCACGAGGAAATGAATGGCGAATCGTTTGAACAGTGGTTTTCAAAAATTTTACCGAACTTAGAGGAAAACGCAGTAATTGTGTTGGATAATGCGCCTTATCATTCTCGAAGAATGGAGAAGGTCCCAACAACGGCTTCAAGGAAAGTTAATGTTCAAAATTGGCTCCGCTCGAAAAATATCAACTTTGAAGAAGCAATGCTGAAAGTACAATTATTAAGAATTGTCAAGGATCACAAGGCGGAATATCAAAAATACGCCATTGACGAAATGGCAGCAAGTCAAAATAAAACTGTGCTCCGTTTACCTCCATACCATTGCGAGCTCAATCCCATTGAGCTCATATGGGCAGAGGTTAAAAATTATATAGCTAAGCGCAATACAACTTTTAAATTTTGTGACCTCAAAGGACTTTTCAAAGAAGCACTAGAATTAATAACAGCGCAAAAATGGGAAAACTGTATTAAGCACGTGAAAGACAAAGTTGAAAAGATAATGTGGGAACTGGACAATATTTTAGAGGAACAAGTCGAGCCATTCATTATTGACGTTGGTGCTTCAGGCAGTAGCGATGATGAAAGCTCATCAAGCTCATCTTTCCAATAAAAGATGTCGTTCATCAAATTCGGTAAGTTATAAGTAATTATAAAGCTACTGTATTTTTTAATTAATTATTGACATTTTTGAACCCATTTTGACAAAACCTATTCAAGAATCTACTTTCTGACAATGTTCAACCATGCACATTTTTTTACGTTTTGAACGTTTTAATTTGGTTACATATTTACCTAGAAATCAAAAAATATACTAATCAATATTCTAAAAGCAATTTAAAGAGATATACGATTATTTTTAATTTAGGCAAATTTAAACGCCATTTTGAGATTACATTCGACTGTATTTCACCAAACATCAGGCGGCATCCGAAGCTGGAAATCGAAGCGAAAATTTTGAAACCTTTATGTATATTTACATCATTATATATTTCTTACCCCACCCCCACATGATCCTATATCCATCACTAATCGTATACACATCGAATTGTGCTAATTTACTACAAAGTTACGCAAAGCAGCATCTACTATCTAAAATATGTACTGCGTGATTCTTAATACGTCCCTGCCGAATGTTACAGCATTCGATGATCACGTGGTCTTGTTTATGTCCGGTCTATCTCTTATCTGAATATACTGTATATGCTTTGTTATGTAGATCCTCCAAATTGAGTTTGATAAACAAAGTTCGACTATATAAAATGATTATTAGACCAGCCATTACTTATGCATGTGCGGCTTGGTGTTTTCTTGCCAAGACACGCATGCAAAGTCTTCAAGTACTGCAAAGCAGAACTTTGCGGACAATTTGCAACGCTCCATGGTATGTCTCAAATGAGACACTACACAGAGACCTTGACATTCCTTACTTGAGGGATTATGTCAAGCTTCAGGCGCAGCGACGTTATAGTCAAGCGGAATCGCACAGCAACCCTCTGTTGCGTGACTCAGTGGACCACACAGTGGAGCAAGTTCGTAAACACTCAAGGCCACGGCTCGCACTGTAATCAAAAGTTAGCGTAAACTCAAAATTACACTCTAACACAACCGAATCAAAAATTTGTTCAGTTCACCTCAAAATTAATCCGTCTACCAAGTCAAAAAGCCTAAGTGTTTCCTCTTAAACTAAGCATATCTGTTTTTCTTTGCTCTTCTCCTTTTTTTCTTCTCTTTCCCTTTCTCTTTTTCCTCGACTTTGTCTGGTTTCTGGGCAACCAGGACTGACAGATTCGACTAACGTACATCAGACGGTGACTAATGGGCAAAGGTCCTACGGACCGCCCAGACAAATAAATGACGAATAGTACCTAAGAATCTTCGTTATATAAAAATTTGCATTAGAAAAACTGTGTTGACTTGAAAATATACTGGTGACAGAAGTGTTACACCCCGGAAAAAATCTCCCTGTAGATGGAGAAAAGACGAGTCATGTTTTTGCTCCTTACAAATTATATGAGAATTTGCTGAGAGAAAAGGCGAGTATTAGGTGGATCGCTCGTCTGAGGGGTCACCAAGCGACAGCTCAAATCAAGATACTGATGGTCTGCATGGACAATCTCAATGCCCAGGTTTTCAGCCTTAGTACTTCTTTAAATCAATTCATGTCTCGTGATGAGAGTTCTATTAAGATTCCCAATAGAAGACGCAACTGTCCTACCTCACCTAGCGAGACAGAAGACGACGTACGGGGTAGTGATTTTACCGCTATACAGAGACGTAAAAAACGACAGATTCGTAAAATTAACGAATATCCTTTCCTTCAGAATAAGAAATCAATACCAATTTAATGGACATAACACTGCCTGTCTCTGTTTCTTCTGCTGATTCTGCAAGCCAGACATACTATTCATTTGCTGCATAAAATACAAGAATTCAGAACCTGCCTTGTGTTATATACTAAGTGACATATAAATCCGAACACCCAGTTAAAATGGTTTTATTTTAATAAAATTTTGTGTAAGTACTTAATAAGTAAATGATAAAAATTTCAAAATGATTGCACTGCTTTAAAGCCCTTTGACCTTTAATAATGTGTGGATGCACCGTGATGTGCTACGCATTCTCCAACGCGCCTAGGCATGCTTCTGATCAGGTGGTCAATGTCCTCATGTGGTATCTCATTCCAGGCAACCACCAACTCCTCTCGAAGTGCTTCTAGAGTCTGAGGAGGACGTTGCAAATTGAGCAATCTCCTACCCATCATATCCCACACGTGCTCAATTGGGGATAAGTCGGGAGATCTTGGTGGCCATGGTAACAATGTGACATCATTATGTTGACAGAAGTCTATTGTGACTCTTGCAACATGTGGTCGGGCATTATCTTGTTGGAAAGTTGGATCTGCCTGGGTGTCAAGATAGGGTTCTAGAACTTCGTGGATATAACGCTGCGCGTTCATGTTACCTCTGATGAAGATTAAAGGTGACCTGGGACCATAAGCTATAGCACGCCAAACCATAACTCCGACAGTGTGATGAACATGTCTTTCAACAAAAAACTGAGGATTCCTCCTTTCACCACGTCGCCTTCTAACCCTGGCACGACCATCGTGCATGCCTAAACAAAATCGAGACTCGTCACTAAAGACAATACTGTTCCATTCCTGATCCCAGAGTGACCGTTGTCTGCACCACTCAAGGCGATTACGTCGGTGTTCTCGAGTTAAAGGGAGGACCCAGTGTGGCCAGTATGAAAACAAGCAAAAACTTCTCATTCGTCGGTAAACACTTCGCATGCCAATAGGTCTTCCGTGTTCTGCAAACCATTCATTTGCAATGGACCTGGTAGTGGAGAAACGGTCCCTTAAGGCCAATAATCTTAGGCGGCGATCTTCACGGTCTGTTGTTCTACGGCTGCGTCCAGTGCCCCTTGCTCTTTGCGCACGGCCTTCTCGAAGCCATGCCTGACAACACCTAACCACAGTGTCTACACTTCTTTGCACTCCAACTGCAATTGTCCGAAAAGAAAGTCCAGCTTTTCGAAGTCCCGCTATACGGCCCCTATCAAACTCACTAAGTTGACGAAATCGTACAGGTCTCCGTACTCTAGGCATCGTAACCGATCGTAAAGGATGTCAAGAACTAAAATCCGCCAACGTTGATTCTTTACTGCGGCTGAAATATTCATTTTTAGAGCGTTAGTGAATTAAAAAAAAAGCAGTATAAAAACCGGAATGTCCAACTGATAAGGCTGAAAATTTTTCCACTTGTTATTTACAGTAAGATAAATACATTCACCAACTTTTATTAAAATAAAACCATTTAAACTGGGTGTTCGGATTTATATGTCACTTAGTATATCTTCCACCTGGTCCTTGTATGCTGACAACAGATACAGAGCGATTCACAAGTTGCGATCGAAAATGAAACATTATAAACAGGACCGCATTTCAAGGATGGTCTCCTATGTAACATTTTTTACGCAAGGGTTTCATTAAAAGGATACGGGGTGTTGAAGTTTAAAAATAAAAAACATTTTTTTAATATCTTCGAAACCGTCAACTGGAATGAACTAAAATTTAGTAGGTGGATTTTCCTAAGTAGCGCATTATTTTTCCAAATAAAAATAGTACGCCACTGCCTTTTTTTCGAATTTTTTCTTCAATTTGCTACCAATAATTATTACTCTTGTGTTTTTACCTCGAGTGCACTGTTTTCGTAAAAATAAAACAAATTAGGTCATTCGTGAAGAGCCGAGATACAAAATAAAATAGAAACCCCCTGGATTTGTTTTTGTGGGGCGCTTTTAAACAACTAGTGTATGCTGAACAAATTAATACTGTTGATCAGTTACAAGAAGTAATAGATAATAAAAAAAAATTGGAGAAATACGTTTTTCTTTATTAAAAAGATACCGCACTTGTATCGCTTAGAATGGTGGTCTTGTTGAACATTGAAATAAAGCTTTGATTATCTAATTTGTTTTTTATTTTTACGAAAACAATGCATTCTAGAAAAAAAACACTAGAGTAACTGTAGCAAATTGGAGGTGAAATTCGAAAAATTGCGCATTTCGAAAAAAAACTGGCGTACTATTACTACTAATGGGTGATTTTTTTGCTAGTATCTTTTTGGCAACACTATTTTTGACAGATTACGCGTGAATCGTGTCATTGTCAAACTTGTTCCGTTTGGTCTATAATTTAACCATGAATCGACTTACGAACGAACAACGCTTGCAAATTATTGAATTTTACTATCAAAATTCATGCTCGCTTAAGAGAGTGCATCGAGCACTGCTTCCAATTTATGGGCAATTTGGTCGGCCTACTGAGGGAGCTATTCGGAAGCTTGTGACGAAATTTCGAACCCAGTTTACATTATTGGACATTAAACCACCAACACGTAGACGTAGAGTGAGGACTGAAGAAAATATTGCGGCTGTATCCGCCAGTGTTAGTGATGACCGTGAACTGTCGATTCGCCGCCGTTAGCAGCAATTGGGCCTCTGTTACTCCACTACGTGGAAAATTTTGGGACAGGATTTGGGTGTAAAACCTTATAAGATACAGCTGGTGTAAGAATTGAAGCCACACGACCTTCCACAACGTTTCCAATTTGGTGAATGGGCGAAAAATTGTGTTCAGCGACGAAGCTCATTTCTGGTTGAATGGGTACGTTAACAAGCAAAATTGCCGCATCTGGAGTGAAGACCAGCCAGAAGCATTGCAAGAGCTATCAATGCATCCCGAAAAAATCACTGTTTGGTGTGGATTATGGGCCGGTGGCATCATCGGGCCGTACTTCTTCAAAGACGACAATGGCCGGAACGTAACTATAAATGGCGAGCGCTACCGTGCGATGATAACAAACTTCTTTTTGCCCAAAATGGAAGAGCTGGACTTGGCTGACATGTGGTTTCAACAAGACGGTGCCACATGCGAAACAATGGCCCTATTGACAGGCGAGTTCGGTGAACAGTTTATCTCACGTTTACGGCCCGTCAATTGGCCACCTAGATCGTGCAATTTAACGCAGTTGGACTATTTCTTGTGGGGCCATGTTAAGGGATAAACCAGCAACGATTGACGCACTGGAAGCCAATATTGAAGCATTTATTCGTGAGATACCGGCCGATATGTTGGAGAGATTGTGCCAAAATTGGACCTTGCGCATGAGCCATCTAAAGCGGAGCCGCGGCCAACATTTACATGAAATAATCTTTAAACATTAAATTATATCGACCGTTCTATCGACTCAAATAAAGATTTAACCGGTTTTTCAATTTTTTTGTGTTTTTTTTTGAAAATCAAATCCTATACCTCTTAAAAAATCACCCGTTATATATACTACTATATACTATTTTTATTTGGAAAATTAATGCCACTAATCCCCTGTATCTCCGCCACTGGTGAACGTTAATTTTATGAACTGATGATAGCGTAGCGCGGGAAGTACAGGGTCAAGTTACTTAACGAGATTTTTTGATTTGAAAATTGCAGCTGATGTGAGATTTTTTCCGAACTTACAAGACAACTAAAATTAGAAATGATCGACCGTTAATGCAGGATTTGAATGAACGGACAACACGAAATTTGATCACTTTTTATTCTCTACATATATCACGAAATAAACTCACCGACAGCAGATTCAAACAAAAGATATTGCTGTTGAGGTTCTCTATCGACATGGGTTGGTTTGTGCAGTAGTTTGAAAATACCAGTACCAATTGGCGCAGCCATTCCCATGATAATATTCTCTGACACTCCATTTATTTTATCTATTTGTCCGTAGTATGCCGCATCGAACAGATGGTCTGCTGTCTTCTCAAACTGCAACAGAAATCTCCAGTAAAACAGATGCAAGAACAAATATACTAAGAGTGACGAGCACGGACCGCGAGGATTTAAAATTGAGTCAGTTGGCTGCTGGAAATATGTAAAATTAGTGGTGAAATTGTTCCGTCTAGTCGCCAAATTCCATATATACTAAGTGACATATAAATCCGAACACCCAGTTTAAATGGTTTCATTTTAATAAAATTTTGTATAAGTACTTAATGAAGCATTATTATTATTATTATTATTATGATAATTGAGATGAGCAGAGTACACAGTACTATAAGCTCATGCAGTAAATATAGTGTACGGACACGTAACACAAATACATCAAATAGAAAAAAATAAAAAAAGACAGTTCATAGCTATAAAGTTTGTACACTCCTCCAGCTATCATACTGCGCTTTGAAGCTATTAACTGAAGTAGCACTAACCACACTTTCAGGTAAACTTGTACTGATTCGACGAGATTTCTATCGCGCAGAAGCACAGTGTCCCATACCGGGCCAGCGAATTCAAGAATTGGCCTCACGAATGCCTTGTAAATGTAGGCGCAAGTGTTGACATCGGATCCTTTGAAAGACCTCTCCAGCATGTATAGAAGTTTCTTGGCTGATGTAACGTGGTGAATATGCTCTGACCAGGAAAGACGATCGTTGACTACAACGCCCAGATCAGTGTGGCTGGAAACTGCTTCGATGTTGTGATCAGAGATCTTGTATGTAAATCGCGGATTTGTCTTCCCGAGGTGAAGGACACAACACTTAGTTAGATTTAAGGGTAAAAGCCAACTGACTGACCATTGACAAACAATATCAAGATCTCGTTGAAGCATAGCAGAATTTACGACAGTATTGTTAATCTTGGTGTCGTCGGCATAAGCTGAACATGTGGAGGAAATCAATGCGGGCAGGTCACTTGTATACAGAAGGAACAGCACTGGCCCCAAGACAGAGCCTTGAGGAACTCCACTTGCTACATGATGAAGGTGAGACTGGCTATCTCTGACGCGCACAGAGAAAGTCCTCCCGGTGAGAAAAGCCTTAATCCACAGTAACAACTCGCCTCTTATTCCCATACATTCCAACTTAAACAGAAGCCTTCTATGTGGTACGCGATCGAAAGTCCTAGAAAAATCTAAGTAGATTATATCAACAGGAGTCTTTGTGTCCAGATACTGAGTCCAATCGTTGAGAGAGTGGAGAAGGTTGGTCATTATTGATCGACCAGGGAGAAATCCATGCTGATTCTTAGGGATAAGGTCATTTTCGAAAGCAAATGACAGGAGCTTATCTAATATGATTCTTTCAGCAATTTTGGCGGCGATAGGAACGAGACTTATTGGTCGATAATTTTTAGCGGAGGATTTGTCGCCCTTTTTGAATACAGGGGTAACAGAAGCACTAAACCAGCATGAGGGTAGGGTATGAGATCTAAAAAACGATGTGAATATCAAGCTCAATGGTAGGGCCAGTGCTGAAGCGCAGTTTTTAAGTACAGCAGCCGTCATCCCATCTTTACCAGGGGAGGAAGAGGTCTTCAGGTTTCGCAGGTGCATTAATACATCTTCAGGCAGGAACTCAAGTTCGCAAAGACTGTTGGGACACCTATGGCAGATAGTGGTCGGTAGAAGGTCTCCATTAGGTTCATCGACAAAGTCATCACTAAAGGACTCTGCCAGTAAGTTGGCAGATTCGGTGGCATCCATGTGGAGATGACCGTCAGCGTCGCGGATCTGAGGTGATGAAACTTTGTAATTCAGGTTTGTTCTTAGATACCGAAACAGCTTCTTCTTATTTTTGGAGGTAACGAGTTTCTGTTCATAAGCATGTTTGGCATTATGTAACGTTCTAGATAGGAGGTTAGAAAAGGATCGATGAGACACGTAATCTTGTGAATAGCCACTCCTCCTAAACCGTTGCCACAAAGATCTCTTGTGACGAAGCATCCTCGATATGTTAGAGTTGATCCAGGGCTTCGAGGGGTCACAGTATACCTTCTTTTCAACAGTATTGTCAGCCGTTTCGCTTAGGACTCGTTGAGCGAAAGTGTCCCACATATCTTGGGTGCTACGGTTGTTAAGCAAGGCAGGCCAGTTGACTTCAGACAGGGCTTGGTTAAGAGCATCGTGGTTTACAATTTTGATGGTTTTGAACGTATCAGTTGTAGAACGACTATTTATATTGAACTGGAGAGAAGATAAAAGTGAACAGTGGTCAGACTTGCTAAAAGGTGGCAAATAATCTAAATTAGAAACAAAGTCGGCGTCGTTAACGAATATCAAATCCAGAGCCCTAGGCGTCTGTCCTTCCCTGAATCTCGTTGGACGATCAACAAGTTGAGATATGCTAGAGTTGCGTAGCAAGTCGATGTAAGCAGCAGAAGAAGAATTGCATTCAGGAATGGTTGACATAGGCCAGCTAATGTCACGTAGATTGAAGTCACCAGCTATGAAAAGGTTGGTGTTTTTATTTAAGAGATCTGAAATGAGACTGCACAGGTGTGTGTCTCCCAAACAGGGCCGTGGCCGATATATGCAGCCTATCGTGAAGCTGAAATTTGGGCACCTCAATTCCAAAAATAGATTGTCAATGCCATCGAAAGGACTGAAAGAGGGAGATACCGAGAAAGCCGACGCGATTTCCGTGCGAACATAAATGTTTACTCCGCCAAAACCAGGAGTGCGTGGTGAATCCATTCTGTATAAATAGTATCCAGGCAAATTGATGGAAGAGTCGGACACGTTGGAATGGAGCCATGTTTCAGTAAGGCAAACGAACGTTGGATTATTGTCTCGAACAAAAGCTTGGAGTTCAAGTAGCTTAGAAAAGAGATATTGTATATTAGTGTAACAAACCGTCCAGTTTGCCACAGAGTTTATCAGTTTTTTGAAGGTGTGATCTCCTGGGTAGCTGTGTGTACTATAGAAGGTTTACCACGAACGTATTTTATAGTAATATTACTTTCTCCTGTTGTTTGACGAGGTGTTGTAGTTCTTGCATTTGACCTCTGGTTTTGTCGTCAGAGATTTATACGTGACGAAGCGTGGGGTGGCTAAGGATGGAGTTTTTCTTCCGCAAAATATTGCTGACGATAATAGGTGAGGAAAACACAACTCTAATTAAACGATTGCTTGAAGTTGTTCTGCAAACCATTCATTTGCAATGGACCTGGTAGTGGAGAAACGGTCCCTTAAGGCCAATAATCTTAGGCGGCGATCTTCACGGTCTGTTGTTCTACGGCGGCGTCCAGTGCCCCTTGCTCTTTGCGTACGGCCTTCTCGAAGCCATGCCTGACAACACCTAACCACACTGTCTACACTTCTTTGCACTCTAACTGCAATTGCCCGAAAAGAAAGTCCAGCTTCCCGAAGTCCCACTATACGGCCCCTATCAAACTCACTAAGTTGACGAAATCGTACAGGTCTCCGTACTCTAGGCATCGTAACCGATCGTAAAGGATGTCAAGAACCAAAATCCGCCAACGTTGATTCTTTACTGCGGCTGGAATATTCATTTTTAGAGCGTTAGTGAATAAAAAAAAGCAGTATAAAAACCGGAATGTCCAACTGATAAGGCTGAAAATGTTTTCACTTGTTATTTACAGTAAGATAAATACATTCACCAACTTTTATTAAAATAAAACCATTTAAACTGGGTGTTCGGATTTATATGTCACTTAGTATATGTAAAATTAGTGGTGAAATTGGTTCCGTCTAGTCGCCAAATTCCATATATTTTCAGCAACATACTAACTTAGTTTTGAATTCCCTTTGTTGGTGCTCGTCGCCCTGAGAGTCAAAATAAGAACTCTTATAGTTTTTGGAATAATTAAAGTGGTCAACTGCTGTCTTGATTCGGGTCCAAAGGCCGTCATCGGTTGGAATTTCTTCCTAACGTTTCGCTAGCACGAGTGGCAAGCTTCTTCAGAGGTCCTTCCATTTGCGATGCTGGATGTAGACCGAATTCCAACCGACGACGGCTTTTAGACCCGAATCAAGACAGCAGTTTATCACCTGGCCGCGAAAGCCTTAACCAATTTGTCAAATAAAGTGGTACTTTGTCAAAGGGGAGCCTTAAGAATTTAAGACCATTAAGGGGTACTAAAAAATGGAAGTTCTTTATTCAAACGAATATCCTCTATTTTTTCCATTTGACTCTATTAACTCAAAAAATAAATATTGGGTGATTTTTTTGCTAGTATCTTTTTGGCAACACTGTTTTTGACAGATGACGCGTGAATCATGTCTTGTGTCATTGTCAAACTTGTTCAGTTTGGTCTATAATTTAACCATGAATCGACTTACGAACGAACAACGCTTGCAAATTATTGAATTTTACGATCAAAATTCATGCTCGGTTAAGAGAGTGCATCGAGCACTGCTTCCAATTTATGGGCAATTTGGTCGGCCTACTGAGGGAGCTATTCGGAAGCTTGTGACTAAATTTCGAACCCAGTTCACATTATTGGACATTAAACCACCAACACGCAGACTTAGAGTGAGGACTGAAGAAAATATTGCGGCTGTATCCGCCAGTGTTAGTGATAACCGTGAAATATCGATTCGCCGCCGTTCGCAGCAATTGGGCCTCTGTTACTCCACTACGTGGAAAATTTTGCGTCAGGATTTGGGTGTAAAACCTTATAAGATACAGCTGGTGCAAGAATTGGTGAATGGGCGCTGGCAAAGTTGGAGGAAGATCCACGTTTTTATCGAAAAATTGTGTTCAGCGACGAAGCTCATTTCTGGTTGAATGGGTACGTTAACAAGCAAAATTGCCGCATCTGGAGTGAAGACCAGCCAGAAGCATTGCAAGAGCTACCAATGCATCCCGAAAAAATCACTCTTTGGTGTGGATTATGGGCCGGTGGCATCATCGGGCCGTACTTCTTCAAAGACGACAATGGCCGGCACGTAACTGTGAATGGCGAGCGCTACCGTGCGATGATAACAAACTTTTTTTTGCCCAAAATGGAAGAGCTGGACTTGGCTG